GCTCTTCCATATAAAGTACTGGTGACTTTTTTTTTCCTTCTCATGGGCTGTCACTGGTGCAGGCTAAAGACACACTTCAGTCGCCCACAGCCGGTCCCATGCCTCAGCCTCCAAGTCGCTATGGCCAACAGAGGGGTCTCAGCTGCACCACAAGTGTAGCCAGTGCTGGCCTAGGCCATATTTCTGGGGGGTTAAAATATCAGGGTCCAATCTGCCTGTTCTAGGACCCCGTGTTAGAGAGCCCCTGGCTGGCCGAGTCCTGGTTTAAGGACCATCAGGAAGCCACAGCACTGTGTCAGTTGAGTGGGTTGGAGCCACAGAGTCAGATCCTTATATACGTCATGGCTATAAGCACTTCCCTATCTTACCATGCTCCTGGCGCACAGTAAGTGATTAATTGGTTCATCTGTTATGTTAAGTATAAGCTGAGGGGGACCAGGAGAGTGTGGATGATTCCCTGCGATTCACACCTTTCTGGAAACCGGGAAACCTCCTTTCAGAGCAGGTCCTCCTAGAAATGGGCATGTCCCATGGCAAGGAAGGGAACCAGTAGCCTTGACCGTGCAAGTGACTGTTCGTATCACAAGGAGACGGGATCCAGGCAGAAATCACATGGACCCGCATAATTCTGGGCTGCCCCTGCGTTCCATTTTCATGCACTGTCTCAGGCACCCCCCTGAGTCCTGCTGGGCCTCACCTGCTTGGCTGTGGCTTCTCATACATGGGCTTGGTCAAGTATGTCCTCCTCCGCCCCCTCCCAGGCTCCATCGCAAACTTCTTGAAGGGCAGCTTGCTCCTGCTGGTTGACTCACTGAGCTCTCTCCTTCCTTGCTTCTGCAAAACAGATTCGGGAAGAGGACAAGAGCCCTCCACCGTCCTCGCCCCCTCCCCTTTTCTCTGTTATCCCAGGGGGCTTCATTAAGCAACTGGTCCGGGAGACTGAAAAAGAGGCCAAGGAAGCGAGACAGAGGAAACAGTTAGCTCTCGCCTCTCCGGAACGAGAGGTAAGTGGTTCCTAAGAAGGGGGACCAGATGCGTTTCCATTCCCATCATTCTGTCCTGTGAGGTTCCTCTGAGTCATTTGTCATCCTGCCTTTGCTCCTGCTATCCTGGCTTTGAGGAATGTCATTTATTCAACTTGATCTGTTGAGCTCTTGTGTACCCTTCAAAACCCAGCTCAAATAGCACATCTCTGGAAAGTTCTTCCATTGTCTTCCTTCTCTGAATCCTGCTGCCCTTTCTATGCCTGTCTTAATTGTGGTTGTTGGCATAGTACTTATTTGATTATATGACTTATTTGATTAGGGATTCCTTATGCATGGAGTCTCGCTTTGTCGCCCAGGCTGGAGTGCAGTGACGCGACGTCCGCTCACTACAAGCTCCGCCCCCTGGGTTCATGCCATTCTCCTGCCTCAGCTTCCCGAGTGCCTGGGACTACAGGCGCCTGCCACTACGCCTGGCTAATTTTTTTTTGTATTTTTAGTAGAGACGGGGTTTTACCATGTTCGCCAGGATGGTCTTGATCTCTTGACCTCGTGATCCGCCCACCTCGGCCTCCCAAAGTGCTGGGATTACAGGCGTGAGCCACCGTGCCCAGCCTACTTGACCACTATTTTTATAGAAAAGGAAACCTAGATACTGGCTAAGATGTATAGTTGGTTCACTTTAAGCAGAAAGCTATTGAGTTGGTACTAACTGGTATAGCTGCATTGATTGTTAAAAAGTTGAATCCTTCATACCAGGTGGTAAATGGTTGTAACCCTTGGGCCCCCAAGTGCCCTCCAGCTGCCATGTTTACCGAGGTCCCTCTCCTGAGTCCCTTGGAATGGCTACAATCCAATAATTACTGGGTTAGTGCTTGGCACAGGTAGGAACCTCAGTACCTTCCTCCTGCTAGTGTTCCTCCTGATTGGTTGATGTCCACTAAAAATCCTTAGCTATTCTGAATAGCGCTGCTGGATTGAAGCAATAGTTGAATACAATGTAGCCCCTATGCTTTAAGGGTTTGTAAACTTATCCCTGGTGGTGGCCAGTGCTAATTCTCTCCTGTCCTCTTTAGCGTTGGAACCTAAGCAGGATGACAAGGCAGACCATGAGAGAGGCAGGCTTGGAGTGCAATGCATCTTGGGAGTATCCCTGTGTTAGGCAGAAAGGGCATCTCTTTATGTCTCTCCAGTGCCCTCTTTGGACAAGATGAATGCTGCAGTGCCTGGGCTGAGAGGTCTGGTGGCCTCAGGGCCTGGTGTTGGCTTGAACCCAGTGACCCATCCTGGCTCTTCCTTCCCCTCCCCTTCAGCTTTAGTTTGCCCGGCTAGTCCCACATGTGCCTGCACCTGTCCGATGAATGACTTCGATGCATTAGAGAGGTCCTCCAGCAGCTGAACAGCAGCAGCTGCTGAAATACCTCAGCCAAGTCTTTCTTGGGGAGGTTGACAGGGAGGACAGGCTCTGTTCCCACTCTTGCCTGACCTGAGGCATAAGTGGGGGCCAAAGCTGACCCCAGCAGGCTGTTGTTAGGTTAGGATGAAATGTTACTATGTGCTGTTTATCACCAGACAATGCTTCTGTACTGCTCATGGGCTCATTTGATACCCCGTGCAGCAATGCAGGTGGATGGGATTCTACCCATTGATCACAGGTGGAGACTGAGTTCAAAAGAGGTCAAGTGATTTTCCCAAGGTCGTAAGACCAGATAGAGGCAGAGCAAGGAGGGGAGCCTGTGTGTTCACTTCTCTCACAATATGCCTGGAAAAGGACCAGTCTGGTGAGTGAAGTGGCCGGGGTGGTGCCACAGAGACCTGTGGGGAAAGGGTTCCGTGAGATTGACACCAGCAGTGCTGGTGTCACTGTGAGCAAGTAAAGAGGCAGAGCTAAGCCATGGATGGGGACAAACTGTCACTGCTGTGCCTGGATGGAGATTCAGAGCCAAGGTGCAGGATGGCTCTGAGCCTCAGCCCACAGCAGGTGGCTGGACCATGGGCCAAGATATTCCTGGGGCTGGAGCAAGGGAGCCTCAGGACATGTTTCCACACAGCAGCAAGCTCTGCGTGGTTCCTGCCAATGTAACTTTCTTGTCCCGATCAGTAAATAACTCTGTACTCTCCTGCCTTGTCCTAGCACAACTGTTTCATTTGATCCTCATCCAATCCTTGCAAGAGGCCATTAGAATCCATCCCATTTTGCAGGAATGGAGAACAAGGTTTGGGGAGGTGACCCGGTTCTCCTAAGGCTACCCGGCCGGTGAGGAAGAGGGAGAGGCTGGAATAACACCGGAGTGGCAAGTAGCCCGTGTTGAATGTCAAGGAGACCTAGATTCCAGCTCTGACCTTGCCACTTTTTGTGGTCCTGGCTAAACCCCTTCCCCTTTATTGGCCTCAGTTTACTCATCTATAAAAATGTGCTTTAGTTTCCTCTTGGCCCCAGTGATTCTAGAGCTGCTGTTTCCTCTATATGCTAAGAAGGGTGGCAGGGTGGGGCGACCAAAGACTCTGATGACTTTGAAGATCCAAAGGAAGAGAATTCATGGGCATATGAGGGTGGGGTGGGAGGAGGCTGGCACTAGTTATCTTGTTTGGCCCACCCCACGTTACTGTCTCCTCTGTGGTGGTTGGTTAAAAATAAGGCACTGACTCACTTTTCAATATGGTGTAGACAGTGGTGAGATTTGCCAAGTGCAGTCAATCCCCCTTCCAAGGCTATGTCCTGCCTTCCCCCAGAAGGTCAGGAGGAGCTTCTCGGCCATGGGCCCCAGAGTCATGATGCTGAGCTCCAGCTGTACCTTGTAATCACCCGGGGAGTCACAACCCAGACAGACTAAATCAGAGTCTCCGGGAATAAGGCCAAGGCATTAAGGTTTTTTTTTTTTTTTTTTTTTTTTTTGAGACGGAGTCTCGCTCTGTCGCCCAGGTTGGAGTGCTGTGGCCGGATCTCAGCTCACTGCAAACTCCGCCTCCCGGGTTCATGCCATTCTCCTGCCTCAGCCTCCCGAGTAGCTGGGACTACAGGCGCCCGCCACGGCCCCCGGCTAGTTTTTTTTTTTTTGTATTTTTTTAGTAGAGACGGGGTTTCACCATGTTAGCCAGGATGGTCTCGATCTCCTGACCTTGTGATCCACCCGTCTCGGCCTCCCAAAGTGCTGGGATTACAGGCTTGAGCCACTGCGCCCGGCCGGCATTAAGGTTTTTTAAAGCGCCCCGGGAGATTCCAGAGAGCCCTAGAGAGACAAGGAAGGGCGTCTAATATGCAGCAGTTAAAGGCACTGACTTTGGAGTCAGAGAGAACTGGTTTTACATTGCGTCTTTGTAGCTGGGTCTCCTTACATCTTTGCATCTGCTTCTGTGCTTGTAGAATGGGGAGAAGTTCAGAATCTACTCCAGTTGTTCCTTAGGAGGATTAAATAGGAGATTGCATGATGGTGATATAGGGCTCACTGCAAGGAAGATATAAATGATAGATATTATTATCATCGTCATTATTACAAAGATGAAAACAGAGACTTTGCTGTGGCATTGGCCACATAAAACAGGAGAGAGACACAGATAAAAGCCAGAATGGAATGCAGAAGGTGGCCTCGCTGTGACTGGTGTGCTAGCATAGTGCTCTGGGACTTTGTGCAAGCTTGGAACAATTTCTGATTGAGGTCTTCAGGCAAAGATGTCTAGAGAGGAGATACAGGAGATATTTGAGCTGGGTATAGAAGATGAGTAGACCGTGGACAAGTGAAGAGGGGAAAGGGCACTCTGGGCAGCAAGCTCAGCATAGGCAACAGCCTGGAAGCAGGGGAGAGTCAGGTGGGAGAAGGTGACCAGTATAGTTCATGCATGGGAATGAGTAGGGACAATAAATATGGTCAGATTGGAGGCTGGGGTTCCTTGTTGAGGAATTTGAAAGACCAATGGTGGTGCCAAATGATTTTCCTGTAGGCAGCTATGCAAATCTTTTGATCTGGTTTAAAATGGGTGGCAGCAAATTGAAGGGACAGCAGTTCACGGGCTGTGGCAATGGCCCAGGTGAGGGATAGCAGACATGGGTTTGGAAGAAGAGACACAGATGTGAAGCTTGGCAGGGTGGAATCAACATGCCCCTAGGACTGGTTTGAATGCAAGAGGAGGGGGAGAATCCCAGATTCCCAGGCGTGGGTGTCTGTGAGGCTGTGCTAGCATTGTCCAGGATGGAAGAACCCAGGCTAGGGTTGGTGGTGAAGCGAGACATCAGGGTGGAACTTGCTTATGAGGTTGAGGTCTTTTTCTGCAGAGATGGAGGCACAGCTGGACCTGTGAGCTCTTCAGGCCACAGCCAGGCTGGTTTGAGGATGAAGCTCTGTGCAAGGCTAAAATTACAAGGCAGTAAAAAGGCCTGGGAAGGGAGCAGGCAGTGGAAACCCCTTGGGTATTATGCAGCCACCAATGTGTAGGTCAGGCAAGAGTGGGGGACCCCAGGGGCAGAAACCAGAGCCCTCAGCTGGTATGGGAAGTGTGATATGGGGACCAGGGCAGTGGAAGTAGCAGCAGCTCAGGCTGTTCCTCTCTCTATGATCTCAAAAGTGCATTTCCACCTCTCATCCTATTAAAGTTCTGGATGGTCAGGTGGTATTTGCCTGTATTGGGGAAACCCAAAGCCCAGAGAGAAGAGATGGTAGCCCAGATAGAGATAGAGAGGAAGCCTTGCTGGAGAGTGTTAGAGGCAAGATGAGAACAGGTCTTCTAGTGACAGGCCCTGAGTCCTTTCCTGGATCCCCTACTGGCCCAGGAAGAATCCAGGCAGAAATAACAACAGTAGTAGCAGTAGCTACTGTTATTGAGAACACACTATGTGCTGGGCTCAGTTTCTACATATTATCACACATTCTCACACCTAACCTGCAAGGTGGGCTTTTATCATCCTCATTTTATTGATTGAAAAACAGACTCAGAGAGGAGAAGTCGTTTAGCTAAGGTCACACAGCTATAGAGTGTCAGAGTCAGGAGTTGAACTTGGTTCTGTTGGGCTCCAAAGTCCACTCCTTCCACTCCATCACTTAACTTTGAGGGGCTGGGCCAAGGTCAAGGGTGCTAGGCTTGGCCATGCCTGTTGAATTTGGAGGTGCTCGAGCATCTGTGGAAGGATGAATGGAGAAGTGAACAATGAAATGAATCAATATGTGTGAGTGAATGGCAACACTGTCAGGTCAGCAAGCAGCTCTGTAGGCATGGTTGTGTTCTCTCTCCTAGACCCCAGAAATTTCCGTCAGCGAACCCAACAGCAAGTCCAGCAGTGGCACCAGATCTGGAAGCCAGCAGATCTCTCAGGACAACCAGTCAAGCTCTCCTGGGAGCTCAGATATTCTGAGCAAGGAGAGCGAGGGGGTCGGCAGCCCCAACCCTGAGCGGATGACCAGCATCAATGGTGAGAAGGCCCAGGAGCTGGGATCCAGTGCGACACCAGCCAAAAAGACCCTCCCCTTCAAGAGGGGCATGAGGAGGGGTGATGTGTTGTTGATGGTGGCCAAGCTGGACCCGGACTCAGCCAAGCCAGAGAGGACTCATCCCCATGACACCCCGCCTTGCAAGACCCCTCCCCCAGCCACAGATACTGGAAAGGAAAAGAAAGGGGAGACCTCTGGGGCTCCTTGTGGCCCCCAGGCCAGCACTGAGATCTTGGCCCCGAAAGCTGAGAAGACCCGGACTGGGGGTCTTGGGGTCGCAGGCCAAGGAACTATGGCACTGAAAAAAGGCGAGAAGGGTCAAAGCATAGTGGGGAAGGGGGGTGGGACCCCCAAAACCAAAGAGCTGAAAGAGGCTGAGCCCCAGGGCAAAGACAGGCAGGGGACCAGGCCCCAAGCCCAAGGGCCCTGCGAGGGGGTGCGACCAGGGAAAGCAGAGAAGGAGGGAGGGGAGCCCACAAGCCCGGTGGAAAAAGAGAATATCTCTAAGAACGTAGGGAGTGAAGGGAAGCACGTAGGGCCCCAAATCCCTGGGAGAAAGTGGGGAGGTTTCCTGGGAAGAAGGAGTAAGTGGGATAGTCCCCAGAATAAGAAGGACAAAGAAGGGGTGCTCTTAAGTAAGGCAGAGAAGACAGGTGACCCTCAGACCCAGACAGAGAAGAAAAACCAAATGCAGGGTGAGTTGGGGGACTATCTGAGAATGGGGGAGAAAGCAGGTGAGCTTCGGAGCCTGACTGGGAAGGCAGGTGAGTCCTGGGATAAGAAGGAAAAGATAGGACAACCCCAGGGTAAGGATAAGTCCGGGAAGGCAGGCGAAGCTCGGAGTCAGACGGAGAAGGGCTGTGAAGCCCCAAAGGAGGTGAGCACGATGGTGGAGTCACCAGTGGCTACTGGGAAGGGAGGCTGGTCAGGAAGAAGTGGGCAGGAAGCAGAGCGGCCCTGCTCAAGAGAAGATGTTGGGTCTGGTGCCCTGGAGACAGAGCTGGAAGGACCCAGCCAGCCTGCTCTGGAGAAGGATGCAGAAAGGCCTCGGATACAGAAGGAGAACCAAGATGGGCCGGCCCCCCAGGAGGTGGGCAAAGGAGGCCAGAGCAGAAACTCAGAGCAGGTGAGGGGGCTGCGGCCCTGGGAGCGGGGAGGGGCAGACAGGGCCCCCCCAGAGATGGAGGGATGGGAAAGATCTGCCCCCAGGGATGGGCAAGGGGTGGATGGGTGGTGGTCAGGGAATTGGAGAGGGGTGGCTGGAACTGCGAGGCACCCAGAGGAGGGGACGAGCACTTCCTTCATGAGCAGAAGTCTTGAAGTTTCCATTGCACCTGCCCTGGAGTGGAATTCCCCACAGAGTGAGGGAAAGTCCCCAAAACGTGAGGTGTCTCCTTATGGCTGACATGGTAGAGCTTGCTTATGATGTCACACGACAGCTTTCAAACTTGGAATGGCATAAAGAGCAGATTGTTAAAAATGCAGATTCCTGGGGCCAGCCATGGAGTCTCATTACAAAGACCAGGAGTGGGGCCCAGGAATCTGCATTTATTTATTTATTTGAGATGGAGTCTTGCTGTGTCACCCAGGCTAGGGTGCGGTGGTGTGATCTCGACTCACTGCAAACTCCGCTTCCCGGGTTCCAGTGGGAATCTGCATTTAAATAAGCACACTCCCTCTCCCGTTCTCCCCCAGGAGATTCCGATTTGGACGGCCCCAGACCACACTGTGAGAAACCCCCGTGGAAGGTGGAAGGTGGGCAGTGGTGCCATTTGCTGGTTTAATTTATGTGATCTTGGTTCTCAGGCTCCTGAGGACAGATGGTATGAGGCAGAGAAAGTCTGGCTGGCTCAGAAGGATGGATTTACTCTTGGTAAGTAGGGGTGTTAGCACCTTTGGAGGGTCTGAGTCTTCTCTTGTGCCCCCTACTGCTGCCAGCCATATGTTCTAGGTCCTGATTACACTTTGAGCGTCAGGAGGGGAGAGGAGCAGTGGAGACTGTCTTTCAAAGGCATTTGTGTCTTGACAATGAGTTATTTACCTACTGAAACTCATTAATGCAACACGCTTGCTTGCTTTATGGTGTTCTTCAAGGAACCCAGAGTCAGGTACAAGTGGGCCCATAGATTTGATCTCATAAGCCTACTTTTGTCGATTGGTTGTGGCTGATCGCTGCACTCTACTGAGAAGTGATTTTGAGTCCCAGTCTGAACATGGCTGGGAAGAGTGGTTGATTAGTGATGTCTGCCATGGGCACTGGAGGGGGAAATGGCAGCTTGTGTGCCATCATCTGCCATTCCAGGTCTGTGTATGAGATAGGTCAGTGTACCCAACTGTCTGGGTGCCTACTCTGTGCCTGGCACTGTGACAGCTGGTAAAAGCCTAAGGTGAGTCAGACTGAGCCTGACCTTAAAGGATTTGGGTTCACAACTCAGAAAGCTCCAAGCGAATAGACCCCAAACAGAGAAGGTGTAGCCTCTTTCTGACCTGTCCCAAGCCTCCTCCCAAGCTTGCTGGCCCAGCTTAGAGCCTCTCGTTTCTCCTACCCTCGCCTCTTTCCCCTCTTCTCCTCCCCTCTCCTCCCCTTTCCCCTTCTCTCTCTGGGATGTCCAACCAGCTACGGTGCTAAAGCCAGATGAGGGAACAGCAGACCTGCCGGCAGGAAGGGTGAGACTTTGCATTGATGCTGACAAAAGTATCACTGAGGTGGATGAGGAGCATGTCCATCGGGTGAGTCCCCTGTCCCGCTGCCCCCCCCCCCCCGCTCCATACCCTCCTTCCCCAGCCCTGCAAGAGGTTTCCTTGTACCTGACTACCAATACCATTTTGGCTTGATGCCCTGTAAGGAGTTATAGCAAAGAACCCCACTGAACTCATTGCTTTGCTGGAGGGATACTGTTAGGGGGTCATTCACCCTTTCCTGTGGTTTCTCTTAATGAGGACACATCAAGGGACATGTTTGTCAGGTCTTGGAACTGGGAGTTCTTTTGATGGACCCAAAAAAATGACTACTTTTAATTTTATACATATTGCAAATCATACTACAGATTTGCTGTTTCACTCTGTTTTCACTCTGGCTGCCAGGGAACTCAGAGCCAAATTTGCTGCTTGCCCTTAACCACAGCATAGGTTCCAATGGCCTATATTTTGGCATCAAATTTTCTTTCAGCTTTGCTCTTTAAATTGTTTTGAATACATTTTTTGTTGTGCACCATAAATCCTTTTGAGGACAAATCACAGTGTAATGATAGAAAAAAAGGTTCTGTCATGCCCTTTCCACCCCCTCACAGCCTGATAATTTAGAAGTTTTCCTCCTTGCTCATTTGCATTCCTTTCTGCTCCTCCTCTGCCCACCTCAGGCTTCCTCTCCCACGCTGGGCGTTTACAAAAGCTCAGTGGCCTTGCAAGAAAGGCTGATCCATGAGAGGGCTCAAGCTTGGCCCAAACCCAAGACTACTAGGTTCAGAAAACTCCCTGAAGCTGGAGAGAATGATAGGACGCCTCTTAGAACAGATGTTTCAAGAAGCAGCTTCACACACCCCTTGCTTCTAAGGTTTCCTAGGAATCAGTGGTTTTTCCTAGGAATCAGATGGTTTCTTAGAAATCAGTGCATGATGGGCTATGAGACCAGTGAGGCGGTTCGGCCATTGGCCTCCTCTCCTGGGTATCACGGAGCATATTGACAGCTTCTCCACAAGACCCAGAAGAGAAGGAAATGGCAGTGAATGCTCGCACACACTGGAGCATCACCTGTCTTTTTGTGGTGTTTGAGATTCAGAAAGTGCTTTGAATTTCGTCAAGTCTGCCCTGGGAGTGTCTGCCCTCATGGTGCACCGAGTGCAGGACCACAGCGAAGAGGGGTTGCCTCATAGGTTGCACAGAGGACAAGGAGAAGGCATGGCCCTATTTTATTGGTAGGGCTTCACTTCCCATCTAGAGTCCCTGTGCTCTGTTCTGGTCTTTGGCACATAGCTCTCAAAAGGAGGGCTGTGTGTGTGCGCGCGCGCGCGTGTGTGTGTGTGTGTGTGTGTGTGTGTTGGGGGCCCAGGAGGCCAGAGGAGACTCTATGTAACGGTTTCACAGGCCAACCCCCCTGAGCTGGACCAGGCCGAGGACCTGGCCTCTCTCATCAGTGTCAACGAATCCAGTGTCCTGAACACGCTTCTGCAGCGCTACAGGGCTCAGCGGCCGCACACCTGCACGGGACCTGATCTGATCGTCCTCCAGCCCCGGGGGCCCTCGGTGCCATCTGCAGGGAAGGTGAAGTGGGACCATGGGGGGCAGGGCTGGGAAGCTGAGGGCAGGAGGGTCTGGGGGGATCCCTCTGCATCTGAGGTGACAGTAGAACCATGAGAGCCCCCAGTCTACCTGTCTGCAAGCAGCGTCCTTCTCGCGGCATTGTGGGCATCCTGTGGCGTGGACCATGAGATTCCCCCATTCCCTGGGTGGAAAGATCAGTCAGCATTAGGATAGAAACAGCAGCATTAAATGTCACAAGAATAACGAAAGAAAATACTGAATGAGTATGAACTCTACCAGATACTGCCTCATGCACCTTGTATTAACTCAGTTCATTCTCACATATCCACCTGAAAACACAGGTACTGTGATTAGCCCATTTTACAGATGAGAAGAGCCAGCTGGGCCAGGCGTAGGCTAAACTCTCAGGTCTAGCAAGCGGAGGAGCTGGGAGAAAACCCAGGGCACCGGGCTCCTGTGTGCTCTTGCTGAACTCTTGGGATTCCTGAGCACCCACATCAACGGGGAAATAGAAGCTTCAGTTGTGCTTTAGTTTTTTTCCTCGCAAGCGTAGAAACGGCCGATTTTTGTTGAGATGGACAAGAGCAAAGGAGATCTCTAAGTGCCACCTTGTGGACGCACGAGGCACCTCAGCCGAGTCACTGAAGCGCGGCCCTTCAGTAATTCAATCCATAGTGATTGAGCTGTTGATTGAGGCTCTCCTACCGGGCCAGGCACAAAGAACAGCACGGAAGATGCCGGGCGAGCAAGCCTGCCCTTGTGGAGTTGCTGTTCTAGGAAGAAAAGACAGACCATCAACAATAAAGATAAGAGTGGCCCGAGCAGATGAGTGGAGGAAGAGGTGGGAGAGGTTCGGAAAAGCCAGGACAGAGCCGGGTCAGTTCTCAGGATGATGATTCTGGCTTTTACTCTGAGTGGGATGGCAGCTACTGTGGATATTTATTTATTTATTTATTTACTTACCTACTTTTGAGACGGAGTCTCACTCTGTCGCCCAGGCTGGAGTGCCGTGGCGTGATCTCCGTTCACTGCAAGCTCCGCCTTCCGGGTTCACGCCATTCTCCTGCCTCAGCCTCCCGAGTAGTTGGGACCACAGGCGCCCGCTGCCACGCCTGGCTAATTTTTGTATTTTTAGTAGAGACGGGGTTTCAACGTGTGAGCCAGGATGGTCTTAATCTCCTGACATTGTGATCCACCCGCCTCGGCCTCCCAAAGTGCTGGGATTACAGGCGTGAGCCACTGCACCTGGCCGATTTTTATTTTTTAAGAACTGGGTCGCCTCCCCGGCCAGAGTAGGCTTAGAGAGAGTCCCTACTGGGGTTTTTAGCAGAGCAATGACGTGCTGTGACTTAGGTTGTAAAAGGATGCCTTTGGCTGCTGGGTAGAGGACAGATGGGAAGAGGCTCAGTGGAGGCAGGGAGGCCTGTGGGAGGCGAGACATCTTACCTGTGTGCTGTTCTGGAGACTCGGTGGGAAGTCACAAGCCCCTAGGACACCTGGTGTCTAGGAAAGCTCATGATACCTCTTCTGGTTTCCATCTTCTCCTCTTCCAATTGGGGTTGAAAAGCCACATCTTACCCTTTGGGGCCCTGTGGAACAAACCCATCCCTAGTCCCTGAGCAATGCTAAAGCCATTAAAGGGGATATAGTGGCCCTGTACCCCTCTCTCCAAGACTTTTCTCCTCCAGAGTGACCCACGCCACCCCTTCAGTCACTCCCAGCGACTCTCCCATCACAGCTGTCCATGGTCAAGGGCCCTGGGAGGACCTCAGAAACTCTGGGTGGGCCAGAGCTTGTCGCGTGCCCTCTCCCATCCCTGTGGTGAGTGCTTAGGCTTCTGTGACTGCAGCCCAAGGCCTCTGAGCTGTCTGAATTGCCGAGTGACTTCTCTGGCTCCCTGGAAATCCCTGGAAGGGACATTTTTATAGGCCCAGATAGCAAGCAGGCCCTCATTGGCCATCCTGGACCGAGGCATCGGAACTTAGGCAAAAGTGCTAAAAGGTGCAGGCGTTGGTACATACCCTGAAGGTAGATCCCCCTACCTCCCTTCCTAACCCTGGGGTGGGGTGTGGCACTGGTCCCCACCCTTCCCTCAAGTCTTCCAGCCTCCCACACTCAAACCCACACCCATCTCCTGTCCTTAGGCTGGATCAACCGCTGATTCCCCAAATGGCCACCAGGTGGGAGCACAGGCCTGCGGTGAGGCTGAGACCACCTTAAGGATGGGCTGGGTGGGGTCTGGGCCACACTGGGGGCCTCTCTCACTGTGGGGCTAGACCCACCCGGGTCTGGGTGTGTGCCCGGGGGCATGCAGGTCTTGGTGAATAAGAGCGTGAGTTTGAGCATGGGTGTGACCATGTGGGTAGAGGTGGGTTCCACCTCTGCGTGCAGAGCCCTCGGCAACTGTTGTGTGCATGTGCCTACAAGCACATTTTCATGCATGTATGCAAGGGCACATGTACACTGATGCGAAGGCACGTGTACGTGCACACATGTATGAATGCCTTCAGGAACCTGGCTGTGCAGAATTCTTCCTTCTCCCTCCAGGCAGTAGACCTGAGCGGGCTGATGGATGGGACTGCCCGTTCCTTGAACTTTAGTTTTTTCAGACTGGGGGATGGCTCTAGGACTCAGACTCCAGGACCCTCTGCCTGCCTTAAGCCCTAAGGCTGTGTCCAGCCAGTGTGGGGGCATATCCCCGCTTTGCCTGCATTAGGGTCCTGCTGAGCCCTACATCTGGCATCGGGATAGGGACTCATGACTGTTCCTCAGGGGCTTGGAGCAGGAAAAGCCAACAGTGGATTGGGGACAGCCCCAGCCCCAAGCTAGGCATCCAGACTGAGGGGAGGGCCATAACACCAGGGTTTGTGCCCCTAGTTCGGCCAAGGGACTGCACTAGGGAGGGCAGATGGGGCCTTGGCAGACCCAGTGGGCACCCTCAGTATCCTGGGCTTTGGACATCCTCCTGCAGCAGGGCCCATTCCTCTTGTTCCTTTTGGTGCCTCTCCACTGACCTCACAGTAACCTCCCGCCCTCTTCCCTTGCTGCCAAATCCAATGTCAAGTCTCTGGTCTCCTCTTACTGAACTCAGCAGCATTTTCCTCCCTCTTCCTGGAAACACACCCTTCCTTGGCTCTAAGACTCCGCTTTCCTGGTTTTCCTTCCGGCCCACTGGCCACCCAGTCAGTCTTCCTTGTGGTCTCCCTGGCCTGTCCCTGACAGGGTGCTCCGTCCCCACACTCTTCCTGGTGATCTCATCCAGCCTTGTGGCTTTCAAATGCCTCCCGTTCACTACAACTGAATTATATCTTTTGTCGATCATCTCTGTCTTCCCACCAGAAGGCAAGCTCCACCAAGCAGGGACTTAAAAAAATCAGGTTTACTGAGGTGTAATTTACATTATAGTCCAGTTCACCTTTTTAGTGCCCAGTTCTGTGCGTTTTTAACTAAGGTGTATAGTTGTGTAACTGCTTCAACAATCAATTACACGACAGTTCCCGTCACCCCCAAAAGTTCTCTGGGCCCCTCTGTGGTCAACTCAGACCCAAGTTCTACCCCTGGTAGCCACTGGTCTGTTTTTTGTGTCCCTATAGTTTTACCTTTTTCAAAGAAAAAAAAAAAAGCAAACCATATAAATGGCATTGTGTGGTATGTAACCTTTTGAATTGGCTTCTTCCGGGCAACACAATGCATTGGAGATTCACCCGTATGGTTTTATTTATCCACAGTTTGTTCCTTTCACTGATGCACTACTGTACTTATTTGTTCATAGGATGACCACTTGTCCTGGTTTTCCCGGGACTAAAATGTTTTCTGGGACATGAGACTTTCAATGCTAAAACCAGGATAGCAATTTGGGAGGCCGAGGCTGGCGGATCACCTGAGGTCAGGAGTTCGAGACAAGCCTGGCTAACACGGTGAAACCCCATTTCTACTGAAAATACAAAAATTAGCCAGGCATGGTGGTGCACGCCTTAAGCCTAGCTACTCAGGAGGCTGAGGCAGGAGAATCGCTTAAACCTGGGAGATGGAGGTTGCAGTGAGCCGAGATCGCGCCATTGCACTCCAGCCTGGGCAACAGCGAGCAAAACTCCATCTCAAAACAAACAAACAAACAAACAAAAAACAACCAAGATGGGTGATTATCCTAGTTCACTAGTTGAAGGACATTTGTGTTGTTTTAGTTTTTGGTGATTTCAAATGTATAGTCAATATAACCAATGACAGAGGGATTTTTGGTGAACATACATTATTTCTTTGGGGTAGACACCTGGAGAGGGGTTGTGGGGTTGTGGAGAGGGGTAATGAGTGTACATCTCACTGTAGAAGAAACTGCCAAACTGTTTTCCATAGCGGCTGCATCATTCAGCATTCCCATGAGCATCGTATGAGAATTCCAGTCGCTCCTCATCTTCACCAAACTTGGTAGTGACTGTTAAATGTTTTTTCAGCCATTGTAATAGGCATATAATGGTGTATCTTTGCAATTGGCTAGAATTTCCTTAATCCATTTTGTGTCATGCTGTGCCCGAGTGCCTGCTGCATAGGAGACACTAATGATTTTACTGAATGAAGTATGAATGAGTGGATGAAGCACATATGATTTCAGGTATCACCTAAATCTGTTACAGCAAATATGCAGCACACATACCACTAACTCCCCCATGTGCTGTTCCCTGTGTCCATGGCAGACATCACTAATCGTAATGGATAATGATGCCCTCGATCCAGCTGCCTCGCTTCAGGCAGATACTATTCCATGCTTTGAGTAACCAGTGAGATGAATCTCATGGACGAATGTAGCTCTCATTCAGGCCTCTAACTAACTAAAGAGGAGACCTAGGCTCAGAAAACAGGCATGGGTTGTCCAAGGACTCACAGGGAGCCAGGGGCAGAACTAGACACACAGGCTCGGCTCCTCCCAGTAGAGTAGGAAGGGAGGCAGGGACGCAGATCTGGAGGCAGGGACACAGATCTGGACCCTGGGCCTGGGGAGGGGCACTGTTTTAGAATGCTCCCTAGGCAATGGCTGGATGGGGTGACTGACACCTGTGATCTTCCTGCAGGTGCCCAAGGGCCGCCGGGATGGCCTGCCCGCCCACATTGGCTCCATGGCCCAGCGGGCATACTGGGCGCTGCTGAACCAGCGGAGAGACCAGAGCATTGTGGCCCTGGGCCGGAGTGGGGCTGGGAAGACCACCTGCTGTGAGCAGGTCCTGGAACACCTGGTGGGGATGGCAGGCAGTGTGGATGGCAAGGTCTCAGGTACGGTGGTCTCTGGGTGACATGTAGAGTTGGGATCAGGACGGGGAGAGCTGGAAGGGGGTGCTGAGCTGCTCTTTCTTATATTCATTCAGCTAGCATTCACTGAGCACCAGATACGTGCAGACCCCATGCTTGCTACTGGGCAGGGCTATCCCTAGGTCACTGGGATATATTTGTTGAAATTAGAATAAGGTACTCCTTCCTCAAGACATTGATGGCTGTTTGCAGAACAGTCATCACACATGGACATTGTTAGAACTGGATACTTGACTGCCATCTGCTGGGAAATCATCCTAATATACGTACACAAATGTAGGAGAGTGCGATGTGATTGAGGCACCCCGGGGATGTGGTGTCTTTGGGCAGTGCACAACCTGCTGAACTGAACAGAGGACTCGAAGAGTGAAGATTCAAGGGCAGAGTCTACACTCATGAGCAGCTCATAGCCGGAGTGGAAATTGAACTGTACCTACATTCAAACTTGAGTGTTCTTCAAGAAGTGCTGGCAGAGCAGGCTAGGGAAGAAGCTCAGGGAGTGTAGAGAAGGCTGCAGGAGAGCTTTTTCCAGGATGTGATATTTGACCTGAGCCTTCAAAAAAGAATACCAATTGGCCGGGCGCGGTGGCTCACGCCTGCAATTCAGCACTTTGGGAGGCCAAGGTAGGCGGATCACGAGGTCAGGAGATCGAGACCATCCTGGCTAACATGATGAAACCCCGTCTCTATAAAAACACAAAAAATTAGCTGGGCGTGGTGGTGGGCGCCTGTAGTCCCAGCTGCTCAGGAGGCTGAAACAGGAGAATGACGTGAACCCGGGAGGCGGAGCTTCCAGTGAGCAGAGATGGCGACACTGCACTCCAGCCTGGGAGACAGCAAGACTCCGTCTCAAAAAAAAAAAAAAAAAAAAAACCAATTCATAATAACAACTACAATATTAATAACGATCATAGTAAATGCTTGCTGAAACCTAATATACCAGGCCCAATTCCAAGGATACTATATCATTATTATTATTATTATTATTTTATTTTATTTTATTTTTTTTGAGTCGGAATCTCGCTCTGTTGCCCAGGCTGGAGTGCAGTGGCCGGATCTCAGCTCACTGCAAGCTCTGCCTCCTGGGTTTACGCCATTCTCCTGCCTCAGCCTCCCAGAGTAGCTGGGACTACAGGCGACCGCCACCTCACCCGGCTAGTTTTTTTGTATTTTTTAGTAGAGACGGGGTTTCACCGGATTAGCCAGGATAGTCTCCATCTCCTGACCTTGTGATCCGCCCGTCTCGGCCTCCCAAAGTGCTGGGATTACAGGCTTGAGTATTATTATTATTATTATTATCGAGACAGGGTCTCACTCTGTCACCCAGGCTGGAGTGCAGTGGTGTGATCTCAGCTCACAGCAACCTTGACCTCCTAGGCTCAAGTGATCCTCCCACTCAGCCTCCTGAGTAGCTGGGATTACAGGTACACGCCACCACCCTTGGCTATTTTTTTTTGTAGAGATGGGGTTTCACCATGCTGTCCAGGTTGGTTTAGAACCCCTGGGCTCTAGCGATCCACCCGCCTCAGCCTTCCAATGTGCTAGGATTACAGGTGTGAGTCTTGTGTCCAGCCTGAACTTTTTTTTTTTTTAATCTAAGACAGCCCTATAAGGTAGATACTATTATTTACATTTTGTAGATTGAAGGCATTGAGATTCAGCTTGCCTGATGTCACACAGCAAATACTCCTAGAGCTGAGATTCAAACCCTGGCCTACTGGCTGTAGAGCTCTCACCATTGTGGCACTGTTCTCAGCTCTTTTTCATTATTGCAATATGAAATAATGTCTCTTTTAAGACATTTATTCCCCTTAATCATTTCCCCTATGGCAAAATGTTAATACCACAGATAAGCCATATATTCTTTTATGTATATTTGTGTTTTATACATAAAAATTTTTTGTATACTTTTTTATATTCATACATATATAGAATATAAAATATATTTATACAAATATTTTTTATATTTAATTTTTTGTATAAATTCTTTTTTGTATAAATTTTTTTTTTACCACCACTTCTAAGAATCAGTTTTTACTCATCTCAGGGACAATATCCTCCCATTGAGAATACATGATGCAGGCCATATTGTGTTTCTAATAATAACTATAATAATAACAGTTCCACCTTTGGAATATTTTCTAAGCATGTGACATTATTAAATCTTTTGGTCCTCGGCAGGGCATGGTGGCTCACACCTGTAATCCCAGCACTTTGGGAGGCCGAGGCGGGCGGATCACAAGGTCAGGAAATCGAGACCATCCTGGCTAATGTGGTGAAACCCCATCTCTGCTAAAAATACAAAAAAATTAGCCAGGCGTGGTGGCGGGCGCCTGTAGTCCCAGCTGCTACGGAGGCTGAGGCAGGAGAATGGCGTGAACTGCCACTGCACTGTACTCCAGCCTGGGCAACAGAGCGAGACTCTATCTCAAAAACAAAAACAAAAACAAAACAAAACAAAACCCCAAAACTTTTGGTCGTCATGACAGCCACATGAGGATTAGATTTAATTAGTCAATTAATTGCTTAATTATTGATTAATTAATTATAAATATTAATAATTAACTAGTTAATTTGCCCCAAATCAGGTAACCAGCAAAGGGAAGATCCTCAGTCTCTTCTAACCGCTTGGCTATACTGCTTCTCCACTAGGATTATTCCAATACTTTGCTGAACACCTACTCTACATCTGGCTCATGCTAGGAGCTGGAGATACAGTGGGAAGAGGCACAGTCTCTCAGAATATAGTTGTGCTGTGAATTGCATGTGTCTGAGGGTGGAAGTCAGGTCAGGCTGTATCCAGGTGCTTAGCACAGTGCTTGTTGCATTGTAGGTATGCAATGAATAGTAGTGGGGAGATTATAGGGCTTTGCAAGCCTGCTTCTAAGCTGTGAGTGCAGGCCCCAGAATGTTATCCTCACCTCTTCCTAGGCTCCATCAGGTCTGGGAAGCCCTAGGGCAGCCTCTGTTACCCAGATTGTGCCTATCCTGGCCCTTCTAGATTGAGTCTTGTTTCCCCTACACCAGGGCTGGTAGTACAGGGTCAGTCCAGCAATTGGTGCTCAGTGAAATGTGTGTGGTTTATAGTTGGGTTGGGCAGGGGGTGGGTGGCAGGAAGCTCACAGGAAGCCCACAGGGGGCTGAGGCCAGGATGAGGACTGGCCCAAGCAGGGGTCATGGAAAAGGTGGACCTGTGCGAGGTGGGAGTGGCAGCTCTTGGTCCATCAGTGACATGTGGCCCTATGCTGCCCCCAACAGTGGAGAAGATCCGAGCCACCTTCACTGTCCTCCGGGCCTTTGGCTCTGTGTCCATGGCTCACAGCTGCAGCGCCACCCGGTTCTCCATGGTGATGTCGCTGGACTTCAATGCTACCGGCCGCATCACAGCTGCTCAGCTCCAGGTGAGGCCTCTGGGGGGATGTGCAAGGGGGCCCTTGAGGCTGCTGTGTCTCTAGCCCCACTCAGTAGAGCCCACGCCTCCAGCTGGTACTCTAGGATGTGTCTGAAATGGTCATGGTGGTGGCTCACACCTGTAATCCCAGCACTTTGGGAGGCCAAGGCGGGTGGATCACCCAAGTTCAGGGGTTTGAGACCAACCCGACCAACATGGTGAAACCCTGTTTGTACTAAAATGCAAAAATTAGCTGGGCGTGGTGGCAGGTGCCTGTAATCTCAGCTACTCGGGAGGCTGAGGCAGGAGAATTGCTTGAACCCAGGAGGCGGAGGTTGCAGTAAGCCGAGATCGTGCCATTGCACTCCAGCCTGGGCAAAAAGAGGGGAACTCCATCTCACACACAAAAAAGTAAGAATAATAATAAATAATGAAATGGTCATGGATCCCCTAACTGGGGCCGGTTGCTCCCCACCTCACTCGGTGCCCTGGAACATCCCTTCTGGAGCAAGCCAGCCCGTCTGTGCTTCGGACTCTCAGGGGAATGAAATATTCATGAGCAAATACAGAATTCAGCCTCTCATTAGCCAGGTCTTAAAAGCGCAAGTTGAAATTAAACAGACACTCACCAGCCTTCCGCAACAGTCTGTGTGTGATGAACACATGGCTTGTTTGTTCCCACCTCCAAAATCACCTGTACCCCTCCCCGTCTCCCTCAAACGTCCTGCTTGAACAGAAAATAGGATTAGGTTATTAGAGAGTTGTTTGTAAAGTGGCGCTGGTATAATATCCAGACTCAAGGAAAACCCCTCCACGCCAAATAAGTTCCTTTTCTGTCCTGGCCCTGAAATCCTACCCTTAATCACTATTTGGGTTAAGGTATTAAAGGCTTCTATTAAAAAGGGAATATGTTGGAAGGTGGCCTCATTTGATCGTTACTACCAATTAAGGTACCTTTGATACCTTAATTGGAATGAATCTATTGCATTAGTTAATTTCCTAGGTGGACTCTGAATTAGTGAGATAAAGGATGAGAAGTTCTGATGTGGAGGTTGCCAGCAAAATTTGGACCTGAAATGTTGACTCAAAGAGTGGATCAGAGGCTGGGCACGGTGGCTCACGCCTGTAATCCCAGCACTTTGGGAGGCTGAGATGGGCGGATCACAAGGTCAGGAGATGGAGACCATCCTGGCTAACACGGTGAAACCCTGTCTCTACTAAAAATACAAAAAAAATTAGCTGGGCGTGGTGGTGGGCACCTGTGGTCCCAGCTACTTGGGAGGCTGAGGCGGGAGAATGGCGTGAACCCAGGAGGCAGAGCTTTCAGTGAGCCGAGATCACACCACTGTACTCCAGCCTGGGCAACAGATCAAGACTCCATCTCAGAAAAAGATAAAAAAGGAGTGGATCAGAGTGGGGCACCCTGGGTGGCTGGGCATCAGGCATGTGCAGATGTACCCAAAGCGCTGACTGGGTGCCCCTCTTCTCTCCCTGCAGACAATGCTTTTGGAGAAGAGCCGTGTGGCACGGCAGCCAGAAGGGGAAAGTAACTTCCAGGTTTTCTCCCAGATGCTGGCTGGATTGGACTTGGATCTCAGGTGAGCACGTGGGGCAGGTAGAGACAGCCGAGGACAGTGCAACAAAGAGCACCTGTTCTTTGGGGGCCCAGCCTTAGCTTCTGCCCAGTACTGAGAGGCCATGGGACCCAGGGATTAGGAATATGGCCTCTGATTCCAGCTACCTGGGTACACACAGCTCATGGGCTGGGTGACTTTGGTCACTTGTCATCCACCCTGAGCCTCGGTTTCTTTCTTTGTAATGTGGAAACAACACCTTTCTTAGACCTTATAGGACTGAGATAATTTACATTCAGTTCTTTATAAATGCTGGGAGTCAAGGCTGTCTGCTGTGATAGTGGCATGTCAATACTGGTCCTGGCGGCGGTGTGGGAAGAGGGAGAGGGACAGCAGACCCCCACATCTTCCAGAAGTTTCTAAACTTTTGTGGGAGTTTTGGGTGTATAGTAGGGTATGCCTACATGAGGTTCCTCGGGACAGACCTGCCACTGAGTGGCGCAGTGAGCTGGGTAGTCAGGCAAGTCTCATCTTGGAGGGCTTCCTGGAGGAGGTGGCCTAAAAAGCCATCTCTGCCCTTCCCCAAATCTACAGGGCATCGTTAGGCATGTGGCTTATGTGGCTTCCTCTCCCAGAGCCTTGGTTTCCTCCTCTGTTGGATGGATGGGCACGGTCCTCGTGAAGCTCCAGAGAGAGAAAATGGGTTTTCCTACATGAGGGGTGATAATTTGTGGTTACTGTGCTCTAACCTCATCACTGTTTGTTCCCCAGCCTTCCCTCCCCATCTGAAGGGCAGCCTCAACCTGTCCTGTGTGTCCTGGCTAAGGCTGGAGGGACAGCTGTAACCTGCAGAGAAAAAGCAGAGAAGAGAAGGAACTCCCACTTTTCAGAGTGATAGTAACTGAGCAGCAGGGAAACTTCTAGAATGTCTTGGGAATCTGTAGGAGAACTTGGAGTAGGGTTGTATAGTAGAGTGACAAGGACCACCAACTCGAGGACAAGGCTGTGTGGATTTGTATGTTGGCTTTTCCACTTGTTGGCTGTGTGACCTTGAGCTAATGACTTCACCTCTCTGAGCCTGACTTTCCTTATCTACAAAAATAGATGTGACTATATCACAGTGTTGTGGTGAGAGTTAAAATATGAACAGGTAGACAATACTTTTTTTGGTTTGTTTTTTGTTGAGATGGAGTCTCACTCTGTCATCCAGGCTGGAGTGCAGTAGTGCGATCTCGGCTCACTGCAAGCTCTGCCTCCCGGGTTCACACCATTCTCCTGCCTCAGCCTCCTGAGTAGCTGGGACTACAGGCGCCCGCCACCACAGCCGGCTAATTTTTTGTATTTTTAGTAGAGATGGGGTTTCACCTTGTTAGCCAGGATGGTCTCAATCTCCTGACCTCGTGATCCACCCACCTCGGCCTCCCAAAGTGCTGGGATTACAGACGTGAGCCACCGCGCCCAGCCAACAATACTTCTTAAAATAGTGCCCGGGCATAGCGAATGCTTTGTGTGTGTGTTTTGTTTTTGGAGGATTTGATCTGCCTTGATACCCCTGACAGGCCCTGACCAGGCCCTGACCAGGTCATCCAAAGGAATGACTTTGGATTCAGAGGGACATGGGTTTGATCCTGGCTTTGCCCCACATGGGCTTCTCTGAGCCTTGATTTCTCCTTCTGTAAAATGTGTTCCTACTAGTGCTAACCCCGTAGGCATTTAAATGAGATCACATGTCAAGGCAGCAGGCGCCATGTGCAGTGCATAGTAACGGTGTAATGCGGGAAGGAATAGGTAGGTGGATCCTGAACATAGGAGTTTGAGCCCCACTTTCAGCCCCATGGCCTCACCTCTCGGGACCTCCATTTTCTCACCTCTCAGAACGCTGAAGGACACACACATCACCCCTGTTCCAGCCCTGGAGCCCCACACTGGGGCTCTCTCTTCTGTACCCGATGGGTGGGGCTTGATTCTGGGGATAGAAGCATTGCCTGCTGGAGAGGGGGATTTGGAGGCTTACCCTGGGGTGGACCCAGGAAGGATGAGGCTCAACTGCGGCTAGCAGAGGATGCCCGACCTCCACGCCAAGCCAGGCCCAGGCCAGGGGCCCTCCATGGTGGAGGCGTCCTTATTGAGTTTGGCATCCTTAGGAACTGGGCCAAAGCTGCCTCTGAGAGGAAAGGGCTGCCTAGATGAGTTTCAGGGACCCCAAGGGAGTAAAGTGCTTGGAGCAACTCGGCCCCCTCAGGGAGTCATTGTCATTCTGAAGGTTCCTTGTTAATCCCCCAGTTACTTCCCTTTCTCTACCTCTGCGCTGCCAACTTGGTCCCTCACCGACATGGAAGCTTCCAAAGGTCAAAATCAGGTTCCCACTTGCCCAAATGTCCTTTCTCCCATGCATTCATGTGGCAAACTCCTAGTCATCCTTCAAAACCCTACTCCAAATCCCTTTTTTAGAGGAGCACCGCCTGATTCTTGCTCCTCGGTTTCTCCTTTCTACCATTTTGGTGCCTGGTATGTGCTTCTGGTTCAAAAACCTGCCAGTGCTGGTCTCCCTTCCTCACCAGATAGACTGGGAGATCTTTGAATCAGGGGCCCTGTTGTCCTTCTTTCTGCCTTCCCAGTACCTCGCACAGGGCTTGGCACCAGGTAGATGCTTCTTAATTATTTGTCAGATTGAATTTCCAGTGAATGGAAGAGAGTGTCAGGAAAACAGAGCTCTTACTCCGTGCCAGCCTGGCAGTGTACAATATCTCATTTAATCCTGGGAGGCAAGAAGAGGTAGGGAGCCCATTTTACAGATAAGGAAACGTGAGTTGCAGAGAAGAGAATTACCTTGTCTGCCACATGGCAGCACTGGGATTGGACTTGAAGCCTAGCTGGTAAGAGTCCTTCCAAGTCACGAGGCAGAGAGGAGTGTGGGGTCTGTAGAGAATCTAGGGAGAGGACGCTGAAGGCCTCAGAACCAGACAAGCTGGCTGGAGACTGATGAGTAACCCCCCACCCAGCTTTCCAGGAACCAATTTGAGCCCGCATGGGGATTGGGGATCCTAGGCCGGGCTCTACAATGCTTTTGTGAGTAGAGAGTGTGATTCGAAGGGGCAGGGGGCATAGCCGTACCCACCCCGACTTTGGCTTGCATTCCTCAAGCCTGCGAAAGTGGGTGGCCCGTCTGCCGGTCTCACTCTCGAGGAGCCTGCAGGTTGAACATGGGACGGAGCCTTAAACATCGTGTTGCTTCATAAAGTGCAGACTGAGGCCGGGAGAGGCGCACATGGCAGGATAGCGCGGAGTCTGGGCTGGAAGGGCCAGCAGACCTCAGCTCAGCTTCTGGCCGCGTGTTTGCTAGCTGTGAAGGCCTGGGGCAGGTACCCACTCTCAGTGCCTCTGTTTTGTCAATGGTGAAATGGAAATAATTGTACCGATGGAGTGGGGCTGTCATGAGTCATGTTAGAACTTAACATGCCGCAAGGGCTCATTTGTATTGACTGTTTCAATATTATCCTTAAGTGAGGCCACCCAGCTGATTAGAAGATCTGGAGTTAGTCCCTGCTCTCCTGATTTTCCTCTACAACCCTTTCTCCTGGGATTTCCTGGTGTTTAGGAAGGGCCAAGGGAGGGCTATGCGTGAGGAATATTTGGGAGATCGAAGATGTCCCAGGGCAGAGTTAGTGGGGCCAAGGCCAGGGACAGTCCCTGGGGTGTCTGGGTAGTTGCATGGAGCCCCACACACTGTGACGACCACCTGCCCTGCCAGGCCTGGTGTGAACAGCCCACTGACTCCTGGTTCCTTCTGTGCTTCCAGGACGGAGCTGAACCTGCACCAGATGGCAGATAGCAGCTCCTTTGGCATGGGCGTGTGGTCCAAGGTAAGGAGGAGGTCCCTCAGGGGTGGGATGTGAGTCCGTGTCCCTGGGGCCAGATGGGAGGGTGATGAGGAGTCGCCATGCAACTTGTCTCCTTTGGTACTGGGGTTCATAGTTGGCAAGGGTTGGTCATGTGGAAGAGTCAGGGGCTGCCTCTGTAGGGTCTGGGTTTGTTGGGTAAAGGAGACTCGGACAAATAAAGGAAACCAGACGTAGTATACCTTAGAGGTAGGATTAGGGCCCTGGAATCAGTCTAGTTCAAGCCCCAGCTCTGATACTTATTAAGTAGGTGAACCTCAGGCATGGACCTTAACCTCCTGGGAAGTCTGTCTCTTCTTCAGTACAATAATGATAGTAGCAGTATCTGCCTGATAGGGTTGTTGTGAGGGTGAAATGAAATGATGTGTATAACGGGCTTGGAACAGGGCTTGGCCTAAATCAATCAATAGGATGCTCTTTGTCAGTACTACTGGTGGTTAACTTGGGTAGGTGCACTCAAAGATGGTTTCGTGATCAATATAGTCCATGAGTGGGGCCGAGAGTTAGGTATTTCATTGTTTAAAAAAGCAAATGGTTCACTGGTTTGATATTTTATTATTCAATTATTTTAACCATTGTTTTCTCCCTTCTCTCCCAAATACCTTCACCACCACCTATGCTGGGCCTGTGTTGTGTGAGGTGTATGCTTCTGCTAAGTGCTACGAGTATGGTCCTCATCCATGAATTTTTACTTTAGCCGGAGGCACAGACTTGGAAATTAATGCAATCATGTGAGATAAGAATATGTCAAGGTTGCACGAAATGTTGCAGGCACCACAGGATAGCTGATAGAGCTACTTGGCCTTTGCCAGGGAAGACTTCTTAGCCAAGGGAACATTTGGCCTGGGTTTTGAAGGATGAATAGGAGTTCATCAGATGGAGGGAATTAGCTAATTTCCATTCCAAAGCCTCTTTTCAAACATACATGTCTGGGAAACAAATAGTGCTAGAATAATTGGATATCCTGGTGCCAAAAAAAAAAAAAAAAAATCCATCCATATTTCACATGATATACTAAAATTAACAAAAAAATCACAGATCTAATTGTAAAGCTTCAAACCACACAATTTCTAGAAGAAAAGTGAGAAAAATCTCTGTAACCCTGAGCTGGGCAAAGATTTCTTAAATGAGACATCAAAATCCCAGTCCATAAGAGAACAAATTAACTTTAACCAAAGGATAGTAGCAGTATCTGCCTCATAGGGTTGTTGTGAGGGTGAAATGAAATGATGTATCTAACATGCTTAGAACAGAGCTTGGCCTAAATCATCTGCTCTCTGAAAGACACTATTACTATGAAAAGCAAGCCACCGACGGGGAGGAAATATTTGCAAATCACTTATCTGATAAAGGATTTTTATCTAGAATATCAAAGTAATTCTCAAAACTCATAAATGAAAAACCCAATAAAAAAGATGGGCAAAAGATGGAATGTACAAAAAAAGTGTAAATGGATGGCAACTAAGCACATGAAAATATGCTCAACATCATTGGTCATTAAAGAAATTCAGCCGGTGCGGTGGCTCATGCCTGTAATCCCAGCATTTTGGGAGGCCAAGGTGGGCAGATCACCTGAGGTCAGGAGTTCGAGACCAGCCTGGCCAACATAGAGAAACCCTGTCTCTGCTAAAAATACAAAAAATTAGGCTGGGGGCGGTGGCTCACGCCTGTAATCCCAGCATTTTGGGAGGCTGAGGCGGGCAGATCATGAGGTCAGGAAATCGAGACCATCCTGGCTAACAAGGTGAAACCCCTGTCTCTGCTGAAAATACAAAAAATTAGCCAGGCATGGTGGCAGGCGCCTGTAGTCCCAGCTACTCCGGAGGCTGAGGCAGGACAGTGGTGTGAACCCGGGAGATGGAGCTTGCAGTGAGCTGAGATGGCGCCACTGCACTCCAGCCTGGGAGACAGCAAGACTCTGTCTCAAAAAAAAAAAAAAAAAAAGAAAAAAAGAAAAAAATATATATATACAAAAAATTAGCTGAGCATAGTGGCACACGCCTATATTTCCAGCTACTCAGGAGGCTGAGACAGGAGAATTACTTGAACCCAGGAGGTGGAGGTTGCAGTGAGCAGAGATTGCACCACTGCACTCCAGCCTGGGCGACAGAGCGAGACACCATCTCAAAAAACAAAAAAACAAAAAAACAAGAAAGAAAAAAAGTTGCTAAGCACATGCGTGCGCTTACACACACACACACACACACACTTACATATTGCTGATTGCTGAGTATTATCCACAGAGTTTCTAATTCAGTAGCTCTGGGTGAGGCCTGAGAATGTGCATTTCTCACAAGTTCCCAGGCAATGCTGATGCTGCTGGTCCAGGGACCCTGCTTTGAGAACCACTGTTGTAGAGTCTGTTTCTGCACTGGGCGAGGTGATGTGTCTGCCCCGTCTGAACCCTGGGGGCTAATCTACTTGTCACCTTATAAGTATGTCCCAAATATTATATGGGCAAGCCTGGAGAGTTGGGGGCATATCAGAGAGGCTGCCTGGAAGAGGTGACCAAGATCTGGCCATGAGAATGAGAATGAAATTTCTTTCATTGTCAAAACTCAGACATGAAACAAGCTGGAATGAGAATGAAATTAACAGATGCAACAAGGCTGGCATTCTTGCTAAACCGAATATCGGGGGGGGTACCCTCTTATTCAGGGGACTCAGCAGTGGGTTCTTTTTTCATACCCTTTCCCCCATGATTTGGGGTCATTAGGAGCCCAGACCTCGACCTTGAAGGCAAGAGATGAGAAATGACCTCAGCACTGATTTTTCTCATTCGTTTAATGAGCTTTGGCCAAATATATCCATTTGAATCAGCAAAAGAGTTGTTTTTTATTTTCCTATTGTTTTTGAGAAGGAAAAGGGCCCAAGCTGGGGCCCTCTGAGCTTTCCCCAACCTGACCTGTTTGTTAACAGTCTGCATAAAGCCATTGGTCACAGTGTGAATTCGTGTCAAAGAAGCATTTGAAGTGGTTTGCTTTTTTTTCTCTTTATTTCTGAGGGGCATTTTTTAGACCAATTGATTTGCAGGAACTGGTAGGGTGTTTCTTTGTTCTCTCTCTGCTACCTGGCAGGTATCAAGAGAATGTTTTCTCTGTTCCTTCAGAAGAAAAACAAAGTCTGAAAATTCGTTGGTCTTTGATACAAACCTGGGCCAGTTGCTGGGGTTGGGTAGGCCAGGTACAGCTTCATTAAGGAAATCGGGTGATCCAGATATGCCCCCCAATAATGGGAGCTGCTAAGTCCCCAAGGCTGTCCAATGTCAGCTCTTCTTCTTCCTTCTTTTTCTTTTTCTTCTTCTTTCTTCTTCCTTCTTCTCCTTCTTCCTCCTCCTCCTCCTCCTTCATCATCAAGGATGGTAGCATGGGGCAAGTTGGGGAGGGCAAAGCCTCAATGGCCCATGGGGAGGGCTTGGCCTGCTCCTGTTTTTTAAAAACAAAACAAAACAAAACAAAAAACTAATTTACGGCTGGGCACAGTGGCTCATGCCTGTAATCCTAGCACTTTAGGAGGCTGAGGTGGGCGGATTACCTGAGGTCAGGAGTTTGAGACCAACCTGGCCAACATGGTGAAACCCTGTCTGTACTAAAAATACAAAAATTAGCCGGGTGTAGTGGCACGTGCTGTAATCCCAGCTACTCGGGAGGCTGAGGCAGGAGAATCTCTGGAACCCAGGAGGCAGAGGCTGCAGTGAGCCGAGATCACACCACTGCACTCCAGCCTGAGTGACAAAGCGAGCGAGATTCTGTCCCAAATAAAAAATAAAAAATAAAAAACGAAATTACTACATACTTTCTATAGAGAAATCAGAAAAAAGAGAAAGGCAAAACCAAAAACCAGAATACATGCACACACTCAAGCAAACCAGAAAACAAGCGCCATTCACTTCACCACCCTGAGAAACCCACTGGTTCTATACCTGCAGATGTTCTTCCAGTATTTTTCCTACAAATATTTTACATAATTCATAACACACTGTATATCATTAAAACTTTCTGACTGGGCACAGTGGCTCGCGCTTGTAATCCCAGCACTTTGGGTGCCCGAGCCGGGTGGATCACCTGAGGTCAGGAGTTCAAGACCAGCCGGATCATTATGGTGAAACCCCGTCTCTACTAAAAATACAAAAATTAGCCGGGCATGGTGGCAGGTGCCTGTAATCTCAGCTACTCAGGAGGTTGAGGCAGGAGAATCGCTTGAACCCAGGAGGCGGAGGTTGCAGTGAGCCGAGATTGTGCCACTGCACTCCAGCCTGGGCGACAGCGTGAGACTCTGTCTCAAAAACAAAACAAAACAAAACACACACACACACACACAAAACTTTCACAAACATTAGAAGACATGGTTCCCTGAACTGCTGTTTCCCTAATATTGTCCATTTACATGGTTTCAAACCTTTTTGTGGTTCTTAGTGATAAGGTGATAAATATCTTTGGGCGTCCAGCTTGCATTACCGTCTCAGACTCCCAAACCTCCGTCTAAGGAGATGTCTCCAGTTATCTTTCCTGTTGTCTCCTTGGTAACAATCTCCCATCTCTGATCACACTGTTTATTTATGATTTGTCTCCCCTCCGCCCTAAGTTCCGTGAGGGTGGGAGTCTTACTTGTCTTGATCCCTCCTGAATAGACAAGGCCTAGCACTCAGCCAGGCATACAGCAAGTGCTCAATAAATGTGTGTTGCGTGAATAAATGAACGAGCATGCCCAACTCACCACCACTTAACTAAAATCACATCTTTTCAATTTTCAAATCGTTTGCTATTGTGGTCAGCAGAGAGATCGGTTAATTAAACTTTATTTTCTCCCCAGTATCATTTCACTAGGTCTTTGGGGATCTCGTGTCTGCCTTTGAACCCACTCCTTGGATCCTGGGAGCTGGGGCAGTTGCTGGGAATCTCAGAGGACCCAGAGAAGGGAATTGGAAAGCCTGGGGGTCCCATCCCTCAGTCATTGTGGGCAGC